GATGATGATGGAGATGATGATGATGGAGATGATGATGATGTTGATGGAGATGATGATGATGATGATGGAGATGATGATGACAATGACAATAGTTATGCTGACGAAGAAGACGATGACGATGACGACGATGATGATGGTGATGATTTTGGTGGTGATAATCATGAGGATGATGATGACGATATTAATGATGTTAATGTTGATGATGATAATTATGGTGTAAAGATAATGATGCATAATAAAAAAAACAAAATTGTTTATTATGATTTATAGTAGATTAATTAGTTGAATAAAAATTTCCACAGAAAAATTCCTCTTACGTTAGCCTAAACCATGTCTCTAATTGAAAAAAAGGAAAAATCACAAATACATAATGCATAAACAATAAAATGTATTATGCAGACAGACTGTATCACATCACATTCATCATCATTATTTTTCTCAATTTAATCAGTTCTAATTATCGTTCATATGAATTTTCAAAATTTTTCTGTTGATCTCTGTCGATTGTATGGTTGTTTTTTGATTGGCCATTTATAATCTAAGTATCTTTACATCGTCTTGTATGAATAGTATCTATATATAAAATTTTTTTAATTAATGGTCCTATCATCATCTGCTCGGGTTGTTACATCATCTTCATCTTCATCATCATCATAGTCGTCATCGTCATCATCATCATCGTTGTCACCATCATCATGATATAGATCTGTATCATTTTTAACATTTCCGTCACCAAGAATTGATATCATTTTCATCACTATCCACTTGGATTGTTATCATTTCAAGTTCTTTTTTTTTATTTTCGATTGAAGTTCTTAAAGATAAAAAGCAATTATTTTAACATTTTAAAATGTTTTTTTTTATCTCGGTTTGGTGAAATTTGATTTGTATCATATTGTATGGCGTTACATACTAAGCGTTTGTTTAAATGTTGTTGTATGTGAATTGTACATCATACATGAGTTTATCAAACAGACTTGAGTAGATTGTTGTTGTTGTTGTGGTTGTTGAGATAAGACGTGTGGAGTGATTGCTTCTATGTTATAAAAAAAATACAACAAACTTCTTTCCGAATTTTTTTACAAAAAATCTTTCAATCGTTGCAAATGGTAATTGCTTTTTTTGTGTAATTAAGAATGTGGAATGATGATAGAGATTGATGCTGCTGGATTCTGAGTTTGCAATTTATGGTTTCGAGGTTAGCTTCTATCTATCTGTTGACTGCCAACTTTCTCTTAATGTTCGTACCGTTTCGATATTTTTGTCGATGTTTTGCCTGTTGGTTTTACAAATAGAGTTTACTCATAGTTGTTTTTATTCTGTGTATTGATTGGTGTTTTTTTTAGCGAGGTTTAAGTTTCGAGCAAAAATTTGTTTCTATATTTCGATTTATCAGCTAATTGTTCCTGAGACATTGTTATTTTGATGTGTTTAGTTCAATTTTTTAATCTGTGCTGATGATACAACCTCTAGATCATTAACAATATTTCATGTTAATTTATATATATAAATAAAAACAAATTATAAATAACTGAATAGAACCAAACATTCGAAAATTTCATTTAAGATCATGGCACAATTGTATTTTATTACATTTTTCCATACAAGTTTTTCTGAAAAACAAAGTTGACAGATGTGGAATCCACTGGAATAGGCGCACAAGAGAATTATAAATAAACCCATAAAACAGTCACACACACACGCACACACACGTGCACATATATACACACACATACAAACAAACACACATACACACGCACGTAGAGATACACAAACAACCACACAATTGCAGACACGACTAATCAATCATGCATTCGAATGGATACGTATATAAAAATAGATTAGAAGCGGCACTATTATTAAACAGACACACATTCGTATTGACAAACATACACAAATTCCCCACACACACACACACACACACACACATACACGCACGCATACACGCACATACAGACACACACATACACATACACGCAAACATACACGCAGAATTTCAGTTAAGCAAACTAATACACCCATGTATAATTGTGTAAATGCATGCAAACATAGCAAACATTGCTACATGGGTTATTTGATCATTAGAAAGCGCACGTACTCACAAACATATAAAAGCTAAAGACAGACGGACAAAAAGACAGACAGATAGGCAGCAAAACAGACAGACAGACAGACTGACTGATGGACAGACAGACTGATGGACAGACAGACTGATGAAGAGACAGATAGAGTAACAGACGGAGAAACAGACATACACCAATAAGCGTAGACATTAATCTACACGTACACTCGCACACAAACACATACCCACAGGCACATATTCACGCACATACACACACACGCACACACACACAAACATCATCTTTGTTTATAAATTGCTCATTGATCCGCAAATGATCGGAAGAAAGCAAGTCGTTTTGTATCATTCGCTTTTAATAAATATGCAAAAATATTAAGAAGATTGTAGTGGAAAGGAAATATCTGGAATGACGTCATGTTGTTGTTTTGTTGTTGTATGCTGTGTGTTGTTGTGTGTTGTTGTGTGTGTGTGTGTTGTTGTCATTTCCATGATGTTTTTCTTTTGACGGTAAAAAATGCCGTGATGAATTGGAAATCTGTAATACGTTACTGTTGTGATGTTGTCAGAAGGTTGAGATGTGATTTAATGGCTTCAGGACATTTCACTTTTATGACATAAAGTTGTCATTTTATGATGTCATCACGACGTCACACTATGATGTCATTATGACGTCATAGTGTGATGTTATCGCCACGTCATATCGCAACAATGTTATTATTCAGTTGCGAATAACTTCGCGGATTAGCAATATTCCACTGCGATGTTCAGCCCAAATTGGAGCAAATAACATAACATAAATAATTGTTACATGTGTCCTTGACATGTGTGTGTGTGCGTGCAGGCGTGTGTGCGTGTGTCTGTGTGTGAACGGATGAATGAGTAAATGAATGAATGAATGAATGAATGAACGAACAAATGAATGAATGAATGAACGAACAAATGAATGAATGAATGAACGAACGAATGAATTGTATGAATGAATGAATGAATGAATGAATGAACGAACGAACGAACGAACGAACGAACGAACGAATGAATGAATGAATGAATGAATGAACCTAACGAATGAATTGTATGAATGAATGAATGAATGAATGAATGAATGAATGGATAGATGAATGAATGAATTATTAATTGAATTGACGGATAAATAGATAAGTGATTAAATAGATATATGAGTGAATTCATGGAAAGATTCACAGTTTTGTGAATTTAGACAGATTAGATGAATGGCTGAATGAACGAAAACATGGCTCAATGGATAGAAGGATAGAAAGATGGGTAGATAAATGGATTGATGGACGGATGTAGGGTTGCTTGCATGTGTACGTGTACGTGTATGTGTGTGTGTGTGTATGTGTGCAATAAATCAGTTTTAATGTATAATTATACACGGTCTCGTCATACGGGTATCCATGTATCCTTATTCATATGTAATGCATCCGTTTCTGCCCTCTACTTTTTTTCGTCTCCAGCACATCCAATACAGCAGCAATCCATTCCAAATGATTTATTAGCCCTCTTAAATAACTCATACTGAATAAAACCAAATTGCACACACACATACACACACACACACAAAAACACACACACAAAAACACACACACACACATATATATATATATATATATATATACACTTAAATTATATATACATACAACAATGAAAAAAATGAATGGCCGTTACTGCTTTTAAAATAACAATTTATTCAACCATATGTACGTGCATACATGTGTGTGTGTGTGTGTGTGTGTGTATGTGTGTGTGTGTTTGTATATAAATAACGTTCATCAGTGTTCGTTGTGCTTTCTACAAGTATAATTATTTAATTGAGTTTTGAATCAAAGGAGATTAATTCTTAACATAAAGATGTACGTGTGTGTGCAGGGCAAACAATCGAGCCTGATATAGAAACAGAGAAACAAACACACAGACACACACTCACACACTCACACATACACACACATATGTGTACGCAAACAACAAAAACTTCCATACACTGCTACAAGCATCAAACAATCAATTTTCCAATAAAAACCGATAAAGCTAACTTCATTAAAAAAAATTGAATCTTTATTACCGGCTCTATTGTAGCGCTATAGTTCTAGGCCGTCGAATGCATGGCGAATGATCTCTCGTAAGGAAGAACAACACTCCCTTAGCTGTTCCACATACATTTTTGTCTATGTTAAAAACCGTGGGACATTTATGAAACTTTGCCAATAGAACCTCGATCAAAGTTTGCGTTAATCTGAATGGAGTATGAAGGTATATGCGAAAAAGAGATTTCATAACTTCATGTCTTCACAGAATAATGATCTAAAAAAGAGCGCGAGCTGAACGTTCATACGCCACAATCTCAACATCAACTAACCAGTCAACCACAATTACTGCTGCATATACATCCATCCACTCCATCCATCCATCCATCCATCCATCCATCCATCCATCCATCCATCCATCCATCCATCCATCCATCCATCCATCCATCCATCCATCCATCCATCCATCCATCCGTCCGTCTATCCATCCATCCATTCATCCATCCATCCATTGGTCCATCCATCCATCCATCCATCCATCCATCCATCCATCCGTCCATCTGTCCATCCATCCATTCATTCATCCATCCATCTATCATGAAGGCATACAAACTTCTGTGATTTCAGGAAGGAGGCATGCACCATCTAGCATATCCAATGGACTCTCTACTTTAAAATATATTTTATTATTTTTATGGACCTAGAGAGCAGCAAATACAAAGCAGATGCAAGCGGTCACTGGAGCTTACATGCATAATAAAGCATTCGACTTCGTAGGAGAACTTGCATAATGCATCGCAATTCCTGGCACTGCTTTCCATTCTTCCAGTTGTATTGGACTGCAGTGCATGGATTGAATTTTTCTGCACCACCACATCACGTGACATTACTCCACCACACCTCACAGTACCATATAATATCGCACCTCCACACCACAATTACCACAACATACCACAGCACACCGGCGACATCACACTACACTACAATGGACGACACCACACTACAACGGGCGACACCATACTACAATAGGCTACACCACACTACAGCGGGCGACACCATACTACAATAAACGACACCATACTACAATGGACGACACCACACTACACTACAATGGACGACACCACACTACAGCGGGCGACACCATAATACAATGGGCGACACCACACTACACTGGGCGACGCCACACTGCGTACTTCCGTCCACTTTTTTGCCTGATCATCCGTGCGTTGACTTACATGCGTTCGTGCAGTTGAGTCTTCATGCCATCCTCACCATCTTTATCAAGCCTTGCTCATCTATATGTATGGAGAGAGAGATATACACCAACATTCATTTGTACAGACAAGGAGACAAACATTGTTGTTGGTTCTCTAAAAAAAGACTTTTAAATCAACTTTTAATAAAGATTTATAATTTGCGAACGAGTAGTCGAATGGAAATAAATTTTTTATTTACAGTTTTCACAGAGACAAATCCAAAGAAGAACTAACTTTGAAGATCGGGAAAGAACAGGGAAGAACATTGAAGAACATGGAAAAACAAAGAAAAACATTGAGAGTTACTGACTGCTTCAACAAACAAACAAACACAAGCCTGCTACACATAACAACGCCCAGCCCCACCAACCCACACTGATTAATTTATTTACACTTTCATTTGTGTACTCACAGTTACTAATCTAAAATAAATGTGTGAATGTTTCTATGTGAGTCTGTGTGTATAGATGTGTGTTTGCGTGTGTGTGTGTGCTTGTGTGTGTGTGAGTGCGTGAGTGTGTGTGTGAGTGCGTGAGTGTGTGTGTAGCAGGCAAAGTGCCTGTAAGTTTCGCAACAATTCAACGATGTCTGCTTCACTACATTCAAATGAGGCCATTGCTTGTGTATGTGAACACACCCACCCACTCACCCACCCACCCACCCACACACACACACACACACACACACACACACACAAACACACACACACACACAATGCATTGCTGCAGTTATTGTGAAGATGATGCTCTTGAAAGCTGCGCTGAGTTTCATTATTGTCGACGGGCGTGAATGTGCGTTATGTAGAATGGATGTGAGTGTTTGGCAGTGTGCGTGTGTTCCGTCCAAGTGCTCTATGTATATGTGTTTGTTTATATGTGTATGTTGTGTGTGTGTATGTTGAGTATGTGTATGTTGTCTGTGTGTATGTGTATGTTGTCTGTGTGTTTAATGTGTGTGTGATATATATGATATGTAAGTGATAAGTGATATATACAATGAAAAGAGAAAACGCCTTGAATTTTAAACACACACACACATACACACACACACGCGCGCGCACGCACACACACGCACACACACACACACATCCATACACACACCCACATACAAACACGTACAGTTTTTCAATTTCGGTTTTCACTCACATAAACTCACACACACACACGTACACACACACATCCATACACACACTCACATACAAACACGTACAGTTCTTCAATTTCGGTTTTCACTCACATAAACTCACACACACACGTACACACACACATCCATACACACACTCACATACAAACACGTACAGTTCTTCAATTGCATGAATGCAGACGTGTAGTGTAGCGCTCTTAGTGTAGAGGCCTAGCATCGTTTGTCAATTTGTCTGACGTTCGTAATTGGTCTACACAACGGTCTAAACACATCCCCCCCGGCCAAAAGAGTAATCATAAACAATTATAAAAGTTGCTTTGGTATGTAGAAATGCGAAAAAAAACAATAGTAAGAAGTGTTTTAGTTTGTTGTTGGTGAATGGAAGGAGGTAAGTTGGTGGCTACATGCTATGGTGCAATTAAAATTATTCATTAAAATTCAATTATTTTTACTTATTTAATTTGTAGTATTTTATAAACCCTCCATATTTAAAAGGTGTTTATTTTTCAACCAAACAAAGACTAAACAAATTGTTACAAATATGAGACAGTATATAGTTGATGGGAGAAAAGTTTTTCAATCCAAATCAATTAATAATTTTTTGATTAATAAGACTATACCAAGATGTTTTAAAAAACACAGACATGACACAACTAAACAAGATCTAACTAGCACAATCCTATCCACATAGTATATTTTCTTGGCGTTGTAGGCATAACATAACATAATAAAGAAAGAAGAATTTTTAAAACGAGATGGCCAATTTTTAAATAATGCCAACACCGACATCAAGTAATAAATACAGCTAATGTAAAATTCATTCACAGACAAATATATATACACCAACATGTATAAAGAAAACCTTCCTAACAATTTATGTCATACTTAGTTGAACCTTTACAAATTTTTATGGCAAATGGTGCGACTACAATTTAAGGATCTAACAAATCTTCAAGAACATAAAGATATAAGCATTTCAAATTTTACGGAAAAAGTAACGGAGTGCTAACGAAAGTTGCCAACAACAAACAAACAAACAAAAGTTATCCCCAAAAAAAGGGTTCGGTGAGCCAGTAACTCATGGGAAAGTAATTATGTGGTCAGTAGTTGATTTAATGTGCTTGTATTGATGCGAATACGGCCAATAGTTTATTAATACCCGACTCAATCCGAAGAACATAGAAAAACATTGGCGAACATTAAAGAACATAGAAAAACATAAAAGAACACTGGGGAATATTGAAGAACATTGAAGAACATAGAAGACTTTAACAAAAATATAACAAATGCATTTCTCTCTCTCTCTCTCTCTCTCTCTCTCTCTTTCTCTTCCTATGTTTCTCAGTTTTTCCCATTTTCTCTCTCCCTTTCCTTTTCTCTATTTATCAGTTTCTCTCTCTCTCTCTCTCTCTCTCTCTCTCTCTCTCTGTCTCTCTCTTAGGCTTTCTCCTTTACTAAGATTTTGTGCCAACGCACTTACCGTTGAGTCATCGAATCGAAAGTACATGATAACCTGACCTATGAAATAAAATATTGAAGCTTTGGACTGGATTGCGTGTATGATACACTTATGATACATGTTTAAAATTAAAAACATAGAAACAAAAACACAACAGCCAAACGTAATAATTTGTGCAGCGGTTATCATACTAGAGAGAACCATCACGACATAAAACCACTGATCTGGAAGCATTGATAAAAATAGAAATAATAACAAAATAAAAAGAGTAATAAAAATAATAAAAAAAAACTAGCAAAAAAGTACGGTAAGAAAAACGCTATAAAAAAATCTATAATAAAAAAATCTGTAAAGATTTAATTCTACTTATTGGTGACTGTTAATATTAACTTAGTTTTTTTTAGCAAACGTGTTAAAATAGTTTTGTAAGCATAATAAAGTCAACTGAACATTACATATGTCTCCTAATGAAATTTTAATCTAAATTGCTCTCTAGTAGGTTCAAAACACAAAAGAACTGAAAATGCTGCAAACGCACGGGCATAAATTTTGGTTTAGAAGATTTTGTAAAGTGTCAAAGAAAAATAACATTTTTGTGAAGAAAAAAACAATCAAAAGAATGGAAGTAGCATGGTGTTGTGTCTAGTTGTGAAATTCATTTTTATAGCAGATTTCTGTTGCAAAGTTTTTTGTTTGAGTCTGGTTTCACCTAATAAGAAAACAAAAGTATGTGGAAAAATTCTGAATTTTATTACAAGTTATTATGAAAGTTTTTTTTAATTTTTACAAAATTTTTCATGTGAAAAATAATTTACAAATTATGCAAAACAGTGCAGTTAAAAATGCAATTAAAAGACAACTTGCAGCAGTGGTTTTCTCATTCTACGTAGAAGATTCTTTACAACCTTCATTAGTTCTTTGATCAACCATATAAATTGCAATTGACTTTGATGAAAATATTTGGCCAACTAAAAATAATTCTGAAGCATTTAATTATTAAAAATTTATGAATGCATTTTAATTAACTTCTAAATGTTAGCATCCAGTAGAGGATCTATACAACATACACTTGACGGAGAGGGCCAAAACTTTTTAAATGTTTAAATTCTCACAGGGGAGGCCGAAATTTTCACGGGAGAGGGGCCAAAACTTTTACTGGAAGGGTCAAGATTTTTATTTTGATTGAAATCAGCTCATCTTGCTTTTGCTTTGGTTCAATTTTTGTTCAAGTTTCGTTTCGAACGCTTTTTTCAGGAGGCTTAAACGTTCATAATGTACTTTAAAATTTCAGAAGTAAGGTATAAACCTCATTTCATTTCGTTTTATTTCATGTCTTTGCTGTTTCTGTTTATTTTCGATTGGCAAGAAAGCTACGCTCCTGGTTCAAACAAAAAACCAAAAATGAAATAATGGTACTTAACATATAGCAGGCATGAAAGTCTTGGAAGGTTTTGTTAATTTGCCCCCCGACGTTTCAACGCAGCAATAAGATGGCTGGGAGGAAGTGTGTTTGTCTCAGCGTTGTGCTGGTGTTGTGGTCTCGCTTTTTTGTTTTTTTGTTTTTATTTTCAAGGTTTAATGATGTGAGCGATCTTTTTTATTTTTTCATTTTGTAAAAGTTATCAGAACTTATTCTCAATATATATCAGACCGAAACGATCTTTTGATAATGTTCATGTTTTTTGTTTAACTTTTTGTCATGTGTTCAAATTTTTATTTGAGATTATACTATTTTTAATTGATTTAAAAATTATTTCACCGCGATTCAACACAAAATGTTTTCAATATTTTCCGTGATCCTGTGTGTCTGTTTGTTCTTCGGAATGTTATTTCCACCATTTGGTTCGATTGAGTTGTTCGTTTGGATGTTTACCTAGAAACGACTCAATAAAACGTCTTTTATGGCCTTATAACGATGATACAGGACAGAAATAATCTTTCAAATAAATTACTCCTTGTTAATGGCCGGCTGAGATCCTGTATGTGAAACAAAAATAAAAAAATAAGGACAAACTTAATTCAATTCAGTAAAAATTCACCAAAAGGCATAGAACATAAACTATTCATCAATTATTACAAATGATTGGATATTTGTTCAATTCGTTTGTGTTCGCGTGTGCGGTTGATTCTATGTTTGTCATTGAAGTTAAAAACTTTGCTTAATTATGAAATTGATATTGAAAAATGATACTGAAAAATTTTATCTAGTTAAGAATTGAAATTTAAAAAGAGGAAACAAATGAAACGAGATCGCTTAAGCATGCTGAAATGTTTTCTTTCGTACATGACTTAAGAATTTAAAATTAAATTAATGATTGATTACCCAACGTGTACATACAAATTTCAATTTACATTATCGTTCATTCTCTTCATGCGGTTTATTTCCTTGTCTGTC